AGTTCTGTTTTTCGGTCTGCTGCTGATGCACGAATTTTCTAAATCATAAACACTTAACACCACAGGGATTGTCCTTTGTTTTCGTCGTCCACCTCTTTTCTTTCTTCTCGTTTTTTTCCACTTCACTGGTATAACACTAACACACGAACAAGAGCTGGGTTGGACCGTCGTATGATCCTACATAGATAAACAGTTACAATGGAGTGGTGAGAAACAGAAATGTCCTTCACTGTTAACCCTTCCAGCCCCAGTTATTTTTGTGCAGTCCCTAACCCCAGTCCCAGCCAATGCAGCAGTGTTTCAGAAAAAGAGGCATGCATTCTAGAAAGTGATGTAATATCTTTGTAATGAGGTATAGATAATAACATATAACAATGTTGAAAGGGAAATGAACAAATATTATGAAAACTAAAGTCTGATTAGGTTCACTAATTTTTTTTAAAAGTGCAAATCTGGTACCCTCCAAAACAAAGAATATACGCTCCTGGGAGATATACGCTCCTGGGAGCTGCTGAAAATATACGGGCATGGGGCTAAAAGGGTTAATTGTTACCATGAAACCAAATCCCTGAAGGCAGCTAGAGCCTCATTTCGTATTCACTTTGGGATTGATCGACGGTACAGAAGCAGTAAAATTTCATCCGAGAGGTCAATAGCCTGTTGGGCAGACATGATATTTTCCAGCTGTGGTTCGCTTGAGAACAATCGCTAAAAAAGTCTGTGAGTCATCGTGGCGGAATCAGGCGCTGGCCATTTTGGGCATGTGAAGATATTGATCTCATCTTAAAGGTTATTTATTTGCCTCGCTTGAAATGAAAAAAATAACCATTTGTCTTGAATACAAGTCAAGATATTGGCAATTAAAGGAGGTGAGGGTCGTCTGGTTTCAGTTGTAAAATTAGCGAGAAAGTGGCCGTTAAAAGTTGAGTAATTAATTTCCTAACCTTGAGAGTCCGTGGAAACTGAAAATGTACATCTTTTATGCCTTTAATCAACGGTTTTCAGTAAAATCCACACAGAAATGTGTTCTTTAAAGGGCAAGAAATGTGTTCAGCCAAAAATGAAAAATTCGATAAAAATCCCCAAACCTGCAGTCAAATGCCAGTTTCTTGACTTTCATTATTTTGACAAGCGCCTGATTTCACCATGCGGCCTCATACTTTCCAGCTGTGGTTCACTTGAGAACGATCATTAAAACGTCTCCATTTGTGAGGCATCGTGGCGCTTGTCAAAAGAAAAAAATCAAAGATATCTACATTTTTCAGCTGGTTTGGCAACTTTTGTCGAATTTTTTGTTGTTTAGCTCAACACCTTTTATGTCCATATAATAACACTTTTCCATATGTATTTGACTGAAAAACATTGATTAAAGGCACAACAAATGTAAATTTTCAGTTTCCAAGGACTCTTGAGCTATGGAAGCAACTAAACTTTGGCAGCCATTTTTTTCGCTAACTACGGCCAAAAATTGACGAGCGCCTGATTCCACCGCGCCGTGACATATTTCGGCAAACTCATTCAGGTCATCCCTTCAGTACCCGCACAGACTAGAATGTGGCGCACGTCAAAGATTCTGTATCGAAAACACCGAAGAAGTCAGTTTGGCCACGCAGCGCTGAATAGAAATGTTCTCAGGACTCAATTTGCAGAATATACTGCCGCTGGTGGTTGGCGGGCGCTGTGGTGCCGTTGGTTTGGTCCTTTTTTCCAATCAAACATCTATCGTCCTTATCTCCCCTCTTCCATTTTTGTGTTTGTTACTCTCTTGTAACACCACCTCTAATCTTCGGCACTTGTTTATACTTTGGCCGACATGGTTTTTGGCACATCTGGTATAGTAGTGATAATAATATTACTTTGTAGCACTGAATCCTTCTGTCTTTAACCCTATCCGTACGCCCTGGGGTCATTTTGTACCCCCGGGGTTGTATTCTTCACATTTTAGAAAATTTCTAGTACGAAGACCTTTTAGAAACTTTCAGTACTTCTCAAAACATCATTTTGACAGACTACTATGCAAAGCGTGAGGATTGGATTAACGCGTAAATTTCCTCTTTGTAAAGTGGTGCCACAGAGTTCCCCACGTCGTATGGATACGATAGTAAAACACAACGTACTGATAGGGTTACAAGTTTTTGACCATGGACACAAAGAGAGCTTATCACACCAATATTTACACCAACATTGTGCTACCAGTGTCAGGCCTGTGAAAGAAAAATCACCGAATGCGAAATGAAATGTCTCCGCAAAACCCTTCACACCACAAAATGAAACAGGCAGAGAAATGAAGGTAGCGGCACTCAGTCCTGCTTGCATTTCGTAAAGAGGCAAAGCATAAAATGGTTTGGCCACCTGTTACGTATGTCACCTGGCCAGCCAGCCTCGAGAGCCTACAACACCAAGCACTCAGGCTATAAAGGAAGAGCAAGGCCACGCAAATAGTGGATTGGGGGTGTCAAGGAAACCCTGAGAAAACATATCACAACTGAAAGAGCTGCGGAGCTGGCCTACCATAGAAAACTGCGTCTCTCTTCGACACTTAACGGCAACAGAGGATGAAAAAGTAAAGTACGTAAAATAAACGATTAAAAAACAAATTTTTTTAACATGAACTCCCCCCCCCCCCCAAAGAAAACAACCAAAAACAACAAACCCAACAAAAACAAAAAAAACAAACAAAGACAGGGGAACTCACCTGAGGCGTAGTGTTGTCTTGGACTGAGAGAACCATAACCCGAACGACAAAACCACGGAGCGTTCCATTCCTCTCCATCTCGGGCGGACATCTGAAGGACAGCGTCATTTCGTCGGCATTGTAGTTGTCTCCCCGTACAGAGACGAGCTGGACTTGTCCCGGGGCTGAACAATAGAAAGTGACAACATTTAGGTCACGACACGGTGGAATCAGGCGCTCGTCAATTTTTGGCCATGTGGAGTTATTAGTATCATCTGAAAGCTGATTTATTTGCCTTGCTTCCAATGAAATAAATATAGATTTATCAGGAATAGAACTCAAGATATTTGTGATTGAAGGAAGTGAGGTCTCGCCTTGTTTCAGTGGTGAAATTAGCGAGAAAATGGGCGTCAAAGTTTGGTCATTCCAACAGCTAAAGAGTGTTTGAAAACTTTAAAATGGCATATTTTGTGCCTTTAAATTAATGTATTTCAGTAAAATTCCCAAGGAAACGTGTTCTTATATAGACATTTTAAAGAGGTTAAGCCAAAAAAAGAATTCGGCAAAAATGTACAAACTGACGGAAAGATGCGTTTCTCTAGATTTAGTGTTTTTTTACGAGCGCCCGATTTCACCACGCTGCCTCACATTTTCGATAAAAAGTGAATACAAATTAATCATTAAGGCTACAAACTGTAATGATTTTAAAAGTTTGAGATCTCTTGATTTTGTATTGTTCAGTTCTAAAACTCAGTTAATGTTGTATTGTTCAGTTCCAAAACTCAGTTAATGGCTACCTCAAAGTATACATAAAAATAAAATCAAATGATTTATATATATCAGCTACACATAATACAAAATATCCTGATGCAGACAATACATATACCGGTAACTAAGGTTGAAAAGCTGAATTTTCAGACAGAGTAACCCACGAAGAAGAGAAAGAGGAGTCAGAAGGACGATATATAGATCTTTTACAGGAAAGAATGATAGAACAATAATATGTCATTTATACAGAGCTCAACCCCGATTAAAGTAATAATAATAAATGACATTTATATAGCGCTCAACCACGATAAAAGTACACAGGCTCTGAGTGCTTTACAATACAATACAATGTACAACAGAAACATACAACGTTGTGTTGTGTTCTGACTAAAAGAAAATTACTCGAAATATTCATCTTAATTTCAAAACAGAAACGACTTCAGCTGACATTTGAATGAATCAAAAGGCTCTGAGTGCTTAACACTTTGCGGTCACTTGGCGCGACAATGCAGCGGTGAAAATAATCCGTTCCAGTCACCTGGCGCAGTTCTGCGTCAGGCCTGAGATGTCCGTTGCAGTCACTCTCCTGGCTGGGTGACCAGATGGGGTATTTTGTACTGCTGGCTGTGTTACTGCAAAGTGTTAAAGAAGAAGTAAAACCACACCCAAAAAAACCTGGGAACCACCCACTACGGTTGACCGACACCAAAGAGGATGTTGTGGGAAAGAAGAAGATGCGTACGTAAGCTGGGCATTCGGACGTCCACCCAGGGGCGGAACTGTGGGCCGGTCAGGTTTTCTGCGTTTTGTCGAGGTATCACAGCCATCACAGTCACCCGGTAGTCCCAGCCTGCTTGGAGGTTGGTCTTAAGGTAAGTCCTGTTGTCCTCTGAAATATACAAGGTGTGAGTAGGTAGGTAGATAGATAGATAGATAGATAGATAGATAGATAGATAGATAGAGAGATAGACAGATAGACAAAAATAGAGAGATAGATAGACAGAGATAGACAGATGGATAGATAGATAGATAGATAGATAGAGAGATAGACAGATAGACAGATAGACAGATAGATAGATAGATAGATAGATAGATAGATAGATAGATAGATAGATAGATAGATAGATAGACAGATAGATAGACAGACAGACAGACAGACAGACAGACAGACAGACAGACAGACAGACAGACAGACAGACAGACAGACAGATATATAGACAGACAGACAGACAGACAGACAGACAGACAGACAGATATATAGACAGACAGACAGACAGACAGACAGACAGACAGACAGACAGACAGGTAGACATCAGCCACTAGATGAGTCCGGTCGGCCTCTGAAATACACGAGCCGAATAGAGGAAGGCAAATAGATAGAGAGAGAGGGAGAGACACACAGAAAGAGAGAAAGACAGGCAGACAGACAGAAACAAAGACAGAGAGAAAAGAAAGGAGAGATAAGTGAAAGGAGGAAAGAATGAGTGAAAAAAACGTATAGACGGAAGACAGAAACGAGAATCTGGATCAACACGACACAGCAAAGTAAACCCTTCACAAAATAACATCAAGAGGTTAGCCCAGGATAGGGAAAGGTGGAACCTGTTTGTTTGTGGCCTTTAACCTGATCCAGGATATCAGAAATGAAAGAGCTGCGGAGCTGGCCTACCCCAGAAAACTGCATCTCCCTTGGATGCTCAACCGCAACAGAGGATGATAATAATAATAATAATAATAAAAATAATAATAATAATAATAATAGATATCATTTGTATAGTGCAAATCCCCGCTCAACCGCAAGCTCTATGCGCTACACAATCTATACTATTACCCCAGCAGACCTGAGAGCATTCTGAAACAATCTCAACTTCGTGGGAAACATACAGTGCAAGCAGCCATTTATAGGCGCTAAAACACTAACATACTGACAAGATTTTTCGCTAACCATTAGGCCACGTCCAGTAGCGTAACCATTAGGCCACGTCCAGTAGCGTAACCATTAGGCCACGTCCAGTAGCGTAACCATTAGGCCACGTCCAGTAGCGTAACCATTAGGCCACCGACAGATGAAAAAGTAAAAGTAAAGTAAGTATCCTGATCCAGTGCGAGAAAGGTAATGATGATGAAACCTTTCCCACAGACCCACCATTGAGGATAATGACTTTTTCCTGTCGGAACACTCCGGAAGGAAGTTCTTTCTTCAGGATGTCGAGGTGAGTGAAGTAGGGGCCGGTGTACACGCCCGGGGTCCAGCTGACATTTATGTGAACCTGGTTAGCATCAAGGTCACGGATAGGGTCCACTTCCAACGACGTGTATTGGCGAGGGGCTGGAAAAAAGGATGGCATAAGATAAGATAAGATGAGATAAACTAAGATCAGATAAAATAAGATAAGATGACTAAGAAAAGATAAGATAAGGTAAACTAAGATACGGTAAAATAAAATAAACTTAGATAAGATAAGATAAACTAAGAAAAGATCAGATAAGATAAGATACACTAAGATAAGATACACTAAGATAAGATAGACTAAGATAAGATAAACTAAGATAAGATAGGATAAGATAATATAAGATAACATACATCTTTATTGTCCAGAGCCTGGCACATTGGCTTCCTGTTTCACCAGGTACATGCACACACGCACACACACACAGTCAAACACACACACACACACACACACACACACACACACACACACACACAAACACACATGTACACACACACAAACATGCACATACACACATACACACACACACACAAACATGCACATATACACACAAACATGCACATACACACACACACACACACACACACACAGACACACACACACACGCACACACCCAAACATGCACATACACACACACACACACACACACACACACACACACACACACACAGGTGCATAATATAAATAAACAGTAATAAAGAAGTTAATAGAACAATAATAATCTTAAGCTAGATACATACTCAAAATTCTGATTTGATTGATTGATTGATTGGGGTAGATGTTTTACGGCACTATCGACACAATTTTGGTCATCAAAATTCTGACTGTAACTCAATGTTATTCTGATGCATGCTCTAAGACCATAAGAACACTTGTAACAAGATGGTTAAGATGGAAGAATTTTGAAGGATGATGGTAGAAATGTCCTTCTGTATTTTCTTTGTTACAGACCAGAAGCCTAGGTCTTTTACTTCTGACTGATATTTCTATTTGAGGGAACAAGGGATGTTTGTTGTCTAAAAGGATGGATTTAATTTTTTTTAGTTAAGCTGTAATGTACAATTCATCCAAGTAGGGGAATGTAGATGTTAAAATTCTGAATGCTTTCCGAATGTAAAAAAAATAAAATAGTAGAGGGTTTTACGGTGCTCGCAACTGCATAAGGTCATATGAGCGCCAAGGGGTGGGTGTCAACAGAGAAGTCTTTACAGGGAATCAGACTTAGACTGCTTACCTCTCTAGCTTCAACAGCACAAGGTCTGCTTCCACTATCAAGGCACCCGGGAAATAGCAGGTCACAAGAGTGTGACAAACATACAAAAGAAGTAGAGGAATGACAATAGTAAGGATTAGGAAAGAAAAAGCAGCAGTTCCCCGTTGTAGATCAGGCGCAGTTATGAGCGTGACATGATGAATCAGCCCATTTATAATTCTACTGTGCTTGAACGAGAAATGTCCCCCCTCTGGGAATGACCTAAAGACACTACAGTCAGTGGCACTGCTCCGGGGGGTAGCTTTCCGCATTATTAATTGGTTTAACTTTTCTTTACCCTGTTGTCTTGTGTTCGCGGCCCATGCTGTTACACATATGTGAGGCATCGTGGTGAAACCAAGCATTCGTCAAAATAATGAAATCAAAGAAACTGCCATTTTTCTGTCCAATTGGTCATTTTTATTGAAGAATTTATGTTTTTTTGCCTCAATACCTTGAAGACTTTGCTGCTTCATCATAGTCATTGGCGATGTTTACCACCCAGTTTCTTTGAATTTTCCCCAAAATATGATGAAAAAATACATTTCTGGGTGGGTTTTACTGAAAAATGTTGATTCAAGGCAAGAAAAAATGTAAATTTGCAGTTTCCAAAGACTCTCAGGCTATGGAAGTTACCAAACTTTGGCAGCCATTTTCTCGCTAATTTTACCTCTGAAACCAGGAGACCCCCCTCCTTCAATCGCAAATATTTCGACTTGTATTCATGACATCTGTTGGACTGTGTTTCTTAGACATACGCTAAAGTGTGGTATTGAGGAAAATATGTTTTAGGTGTGTGCTAAGAATAAATAACTGTGGGAGAGAACAAGCCAAAGGCCAGTAAAGGAAGACATACAGGTGAAGAAATGGAAATGGATTAAACACACCCAGAGGAGACCCCCGACAAGCCTCATCAGGCAGACTTTAACGTGGAACCCAATAGGAAAACATAAGAAGGGAAGACAAAAGATGACATGGAAGCGAGTGGTACTAGCGGAAATTTAAAAAGCGGGGACATCATGGAAACAGCTAGAAAAGGATGCTCAGGACAGGCTTTGCTGGAGAAATGTTGTTGATGGCCTACGCTCCACTGGGAGTTAAAAAGGGCAAGAGAGAGAGAGAGAGAGAGAGAGTGCAAAGAATAAATGAAGCAAGCAAGAGGGAAATAGTTAAGAGGTAAGACCACTTAAGGAAAATCCATATCCAACAAAGTCCAGTGTCAGTTTTGAGCTGAGGAGTGCTGCAAAAACACCCTGAAAAAGTGTCCAAATGCAGCGGAAACCGGCGCTCGCCAATTTTGGGGTATAGGTATCGTTTGAAGAGTTTGTTTATTTATCTTGCATCTGATAAAAAAATACCCATTTATCTACAATAAAAGTCGAGATATTTGTGATTGAAGGAAGTGGGGGTCCCCTGGCATCACAGGAAAATTTAGCGAGAAAATGGCCGCCACAGTGATTTACTCGTACAAAGCTGTAGTGTTATTGGCAACGTTTTTGTGTTTTTGGTCAAAGCTTTTCAATAAAGTTCACACACATTTTACTTATCATTATTTTGAAATATTCTCCTCCGTAGATGCACGGGTCATTGTCACACATTGGTGGATAAACTATTACTATCATGATCTTCCTCTTTTTTTTGTTCCTATTTACTCTTTTCTTTACTTCTTGAATTCTATAAAAATCTTTTGATCTCCTCCTCTCCTTGTTGTTGTTGTTGTTGTTTGTTGTTTGTTGTTGTTGTTGTTGTTGTTGTTGTTAATGTTTTCCTCCTCCTCCTCCCCCCCTCCCCCTCCCCCTCCCCCTCCTCCTCCCTCTCTTCCTCTGGTGACAATTTTCCCAGAACAATGAACTCACTTCCAATCTTGGTCACAAAAGGCAGCCTTGCTTCTATGCCCTCAGCATTGTTCTTGATAGCGCTGACTGTAGAGGAAAAAACACACATCATATTTACTGACAAATGGAGTTTACTGACAAAGAGAGCAACAATTTTGGTGGTTCTGATGCTGTGAATGGAACACTAACATGAGAGTAAGTGTCAGAAAAAAAAGAGTTTCATTCAGAGAAAAGGAGGATAGACAGATGGATGGATGGATGGATGGATGGATGGATGGATAGATGGATGGATGGATGGATGGATGGATGGATGGATGGATGGATGGATAGATGGATGGATGGATGGACGGATGGAAGGAAGGATGGATGGATGGATGAACGAACGAATGGATGGATGGATGGATGAATGGATGGATGGATGGAAGGATGGATGGAAGGATGGATGGAAGGATGGATGAATAGATGGATGGATGGATGAATGGATAAATGGATGGATGGACGAATGGATGGATGGATGGATGAATGGATGAATGAATTGATGGAGGGATAAAAATTGTTTCAGTACAGGTATTATGATATAATCTTCCCTGTGGAACTTTGCTTTCTTCATTACAGAGCCATTGTAATACATTGGCCTTCTGTTTTCCAATCAGAACATTTGATTTCTAACTTCTACATCCACTTGACATCACCTCTAATGTACTCACTGGTTACACCCTCTCTTACCTTAAAATAAGATAAGATAAGATAAGATCAGATAAGATCAGATAAGACTTCTTATCCCAGAGGGAAATTTTTCTTAGCAGTACTGGACCGTAAAAACACATGCAGGTATACATAATAATTTTAATTATATATATTACTCTTATTATAATTCAATATGAAAAGAAAAGTAAAGCTGACAAAATGTACATAATATCAGATTAAATGCATCATTCAACCACATGCAGGAATTTAATTACAAGACCTTTAGATTTATATAGATGCATACTCGAAAGAGCAATACACATTAATGCTTATTCTAACAATAGCCTTATGCTAGATGGTATAAAACCTCTTTTATTCTGTCTTTCTTTGTTTTTAGAGGTACATATCTGCCGCTGCGCGTTCTGACAATTTGCGTGCAAAGGGGGTGTGATTGGTCGTTTATAATGCTCTTTATCTTTTTCCTATACTTGTGTTATACATTTCATCAGTTCTAGTAAAATCATATCTAGAGATCTTGCTGGCTTCCTTAATGGTTCTGTCAAATTTTTCTTTATCTTTCACCCTACAATTCCCAGCCCAGCAGCAAATACAAAATAATAGCATGCTTTCAATCATAGAATGGAATAAAAGGGACAAAATCTTATTATCAACACGGAAACTTCTTCATTTCCTTAAAAGAAACATTCTTGGATTTACTTTTTTATGCACAAGAGCAGCGTGGGGATGCCAGTCAAGTTTGTGGTCGATTGTTACACCAAGATACTTGTAAGAGCTTACCACCTCCACCTCTTCATCTTTAATAAATAGTGGTTGCAATTGGTCTTTTTTTACTCTAAAGTCTATTATCAATTCCTTTGTCTTTTCTACATTTAGTAAAAGGAAGAGTTATTGCGTGTTTTAGTAAAGTTTGCCAAAGTGTATTTGAATGAATCATTCAACAGATACCATGGAATAGGAAATTGAAAAAATATTCAGAATTTCGCATTTAATACTTTTTAACGGCTGGCTAATAATAATAATAATAATAAATAGCATTTGTATAGCGCATATCCCCGCTCAACAGCAGGCTCTATGTGCTTTACACTATATTATTACCCCAGCAGACCATAGAACACTCCGAAACATTCTCAGCTTCCTGGGAAGCATACAGTGCAAGCAGTTGATTAAGCGCTCAAACACTAACAAACTGACAAGATCTTTCGCTGTCTATAGCCGGGTACCCATTCCCACCTGGGTGAAGTGAGGAAACTTCGTGTAAAGTGCATTTCCCAAGGACACAACGTCGGGCCCCTGACGGGATTCGAACCCACGACCTTACGGTTGCGAGTCTGAGAGCCTAACCACTAGGCCACCGACGCTAATGATACACTCATAATGATCTATCTGTTCTCCTCACTCTTAACTCTTTCACTACCAGGGGTTTTTCTCCGCACCTGGACCTGGCGATGACCAGACGACAAGGACATGTGGTTTCATGAGGGAGGCATAGCGCTGCCAAGAGCGAAATGCTCGCAGCTAAAGGGATTTGAAAAAAACAACAACATCCTCATCAGGACCGATATTTATCAGTGACATACTTTCTGATTCTGCCTCCCTCAGATAAATTAAACATTTTTAGTTCAATTCTCCATATTATTAGCTGCTTGTAGGGGGCCTATTATATTACATATGAAAATAAAGGGGAAATAATGACACATCTCAACATGTTGCTAAAAAAGAAAATTCTGCAGCATAAGATTTCAATTTCAATTATTGCAAAAAATGTAGGATTGGTTTTGAAGCAGAAAGTGGAGAACCGTTAAACACGGCGCGTGTTCAGGCAATGCGAGTAACACTAACCAGGAAACATAGCTCAGGGGACTCTCGTGGCCTTGAGGTTAAGGTGTTCGCCTCTCATTCAAAGGTCCCAGGTTCGAATCCAGAGAGCGGCGGAAAAATTTTCTTTTCTAAAATTGTCTGCTTTCACCTCCTTTCCTGCTCTCTAGCAATGTACTGTCGTCTGCTTTCGTCTCCACTTTCTGCCCCCCCCCCCCCTGCCCCCTCCTCTGGGCTTCTGACTCTTTCTGCAGCCTTTCTACTGCTACTCCTTGGCTCCTCCTTACTGCTGTCTTTCAGCCACACCCCTGATCTTCTAGTAGGAAAGATCTACATCTCGCCTTCTCGGACAAGGGTGAAAAATCTCGGAGGTCCCATGAGCAAGGTGCGCACATTAAAGATCCCTTGGTGGTCTAAAATCGATAAAAGTAGGCTTCGGCCACCACCTGAGTAAAATTCAAAATGTCCTACCAACTGAAAAAGTTCAATGTGTCCCGTGCGCTCATATGACCTTATGCAGTTGCGAGCGCCGTAAAACACTTACCAAAAAAAAAAAACCCAGCTCGCGGAAGTGAAAGAGTTCAACTTACCCGTCAGAGTCAGGTTCCTGTATGGAGGGATGTTGTACATTGCTCCGGAGATTATCTTAGCCGGGTTGTTCAGGTCTTCCTGAGTTAAGCTCGATGCAGTTTCTGATGAGCTTGGACAGTTGGTCCTCAATTCTGGTTTCTGAAAAAGTAATAATAATAAACTAATAATAATAATAGTAATAATAATGATAAAAATAAAAATAATAATAATAATAATAATAATAATAATAGATATCATTTGTATAGCGCAAATCCCAGCTCAACAGCAAGACCTACGTGCTTCACAATCTATACTATTACCCCAGCAGACCTGAAACAACCTCAACTTCCTGGGAAGCATACAGTGCAAGCAGCCATTTATAGGCGCTAAAGCACTAACATACTGACAAGATCTTTCGCTGTCTATGGCCGGGTACCCATTCCCACCTGGGTGAAGTGAGGGAAATTCGTGTAAAGTGCCTTTCCCAAGGACACAACGTCGGGCCCGCGGCTCGAACCCCCGAACCCGCAACCTCACGATTACGAGTCCGGGAGCCTAACCACTAGGCCAACGACGCCACGGTCTAATAAAAGTCTAATTAATTGAGATCAATCTTCTTAAAATGTGACTAAGACGTGCTGGAATTAGGAAGTCATCATTTTTGGGGCATGTATTGGTATTATTGGTATCCTCTTTAAGTCTGTTCGTTTATCTTTCTTTCGATGAAAATAAAAAACCATTTGTGAGGCATTATGGTGAAATCAGGCAGTCATCAAAATAATGATTGAAGAAACATATTTTTCTTCCATTTTGAAAATCTTATCAATTTTTTGTTTTTCGGGCAAAACACCTTTAATGTCCATATAAAACACATTTTCACTTGAATTTTACTGAAAAAACATTTGGAAAAGGCAGAGAATAGGCCTATGTATTTTTTCAGGTCTCAAGGACTCTCAGTCTCTTAAAGTTACCAAACTTTGGAGGCCATTTTCTAACTAATTTTACCACTGAAACAAGGCAACTTCAACTGCTTCAATCTCAAATATCTCAACTTCTATTCAAGACAGATAGATATTTTTTCATTGAAAGCAAGACAAATGAATAAGCTTCCAGATGATGGAAGGACTTCCGTAATGAGCGACCACTATGAGACAGAGCAGAATTGAGGGCTTGGGGTAGGGGTAGGGGTAGGGGTAGGGGTAAGGGTAGGGTTAGGGGTAAGGTTGGGGGTAGGGTTAGGGTTAGGTCTAGGCCTCTTCTTTATAATTGTGTTTGATGGGGTGGTCGCTCGTTATGGAAGTCCTTCCCAGATGATACCACTAACTGGACCAGACCAGACCATCAATGATTTATTTATAGAGGCACCAGCCATCCATGTCCAGGTGCTGTTTTAGCCACCACTAACTGGACAGGCCCAAAAATTGATGAGCGCCTGATTCCACCGCATTGTGACACATTTATCTTGAATAATAGTCAAGATATTTACAACAGAACGAGATTAGAGTCACCTGGTATTAGAAGTAAAATTATTAGTGAGAAAATGGATGCCTGAATTTGGAAATTTCCATATCTTGAGAGAGTCCGTGGAAACTGAACATTTGCATGTGTTGTGCCTTTAATCAACATTTTTCAGTAAAATCCACACAGAAATAAATTGTTTTTAAAAGGGCATAAAAGGTGTTGAGCCAAGAAAAACAAATTCAATAAAAATTTTCACACCAGCAGGAAAATGCTAGTTTCTTCCATTTCATTCTTTTGACGAGCGCCTGATTTCACCACGTTGCCTCCCCATCGGGCCTGGCGCAGAGGTGCATCAGTTGACCAGAACGGAAAATTTTCACCGGCACATTATTGCACCAAGTGACTGCAAGGCGTTATTTTATATTTTTATTATAGTTGAGGTTTTTACGGCGCTCACCACCGCATAAGGTCATATGAGCGCCAAGGGGTGGGTGTCAACAGAGAAGTCTTTACAGGGAATCAGACTTAGAATGCTCACCTCTCTAGCTTCAACAGCACAAGGTCTGCTTTGACTATCAAGGCACAAGAGATTGACAAACATACAAAAGAAGCAGAGGAAAATGACAATAGTAAGGATCAGGAAAGAAAAAGCAGCAGTTCCCTGTTGTAGATCAGGCACAGTTATGAGCGTGACATTGATGAATCAGCCCATTTACAATTCTACTGTGCTTGAACGGGAAATGTCCCCCCTTTGGGAATGGCCTAAAGACACTACAGTCAGTGGCACCGCCCCGGGGGTCTAAAGACACTACAGTCAGTGGCACCGCCCCGGGGGGTCTAAAAACACTACAGTCAGTGGCACCGCCCCGGGGGGTCTAAAGACACTACAGTCAGTGGCACCGCCCCGGGGGGTCTAAAGACACTACAGTCAGTGGCACCGCCCCGGGGTGTCTAAAGACACTACAGTCAGTGGCACCGCCCCGGAGGGTGCAAAGTGTTAATAGCAACGAATCACTGACCTGAGTACAGCCGGCACAGAGGAAGTAACGTCTCTTCAGACACAGGTCGTCGCTGTTGTACACTCGCAGGACGTAGCCGATGACCTCACCGGTCCCTGAGGTGGGAGGGGGCAGCCATGACACGCTGATGTCTGAGCTCGTCACATCGGTGGCTGTCAGGCTCTGTACTGGGTCCGACACTGACCATGATAATGATCATCAAATGACAATGTGTGACAAGGGTAATAACAATAACAATGACATTTTTTTTACAGTAGAAGGTTTTACGGCGCTCGCAACAGCATAAGGTCATATGAGCGCCAAGGAGTGAGTGTCAACAGAGAATTTTTTACAGGGAATCAGACTTATTCTGCTCACCTCTCTAGCTTCAATAGCAAAAGGTCTGCTTCGACTATCAAGGCACCCCAAAAATAGCACTCAGGTCACAAGAGAGTGACAAACATTCAAAAAAAGTAGAGAAAAAATGACAATAGTAAGGATTAGGAAAGAAAAAGCAGCAGTTCCCTGTTGTAGATCAGGCACAGTTATGAGCGTGACATGAATCAGCCCATTCACAATTCTACTGTGCTTGAAGGAGAAATGTCCCCCCTTTAGGAATGGCCTAAAGACACTACAGTCAGTTTTTAAAGTAGAGGTTTTGCGGCACTCGCAACTGCATAAGGTCATATGAGCGCCAGAAGATTAGAGGTGTTACAAGAGAGTAACAAACACAAAAAAGAAGGAGCGGAGATAAAGACGATAGACGTTTGATAGGAAAGAAGAAGCAAACCACACCAGAGCACCCGCCAACCACCCACTAGTAAGGTTTTACAGTGCTCACAACTAATTGACTAACTGCATAAGGTCATATGAGCGCCAAGAGGTGGATGTCAATGTCAACAGAGAAGTCCAAACGGGGAATCAAGCTTACTCTGCTCACCTCTCTAGCCTCAACAGCATAAAGTCTGCTTCAACTATCAAGGCACCCCAAAAAAAGCAGTTCACAAGAGAGTGACAAACGTACAGAAGAAGTAGAGGAAAATGACGATAGTAAGGATGACGAAAGAAAAAGCAGCAGTCCCCCGTAAGTTGTTCGGGCACAGCATGAGCATCACATTGACAAATCAGCCCTTTTACAATTCTACTGTACATAAGAACATGTTAATGCACTCACGCATACACACAACAAGGAAGGACAGAATTAGTATGTGTTGATACACCTCCGCTCCATAACATTCTCTCTTCTCTCTCTATCTCTGTCTGTCTGTTTGTCCGTCTGTCTGTGTCTCTCTATCCCCCCCCTCTCTCTCTCTCTCTCTCTCTCTCTCTCTCTCTCTCTCTCTCTCTCTCTCTCTCTCTCTCTCTCTCTCCCTCTCTCTCTCTCTCTCTCTCTCTATCTCTCTCTCTCTCTCTCTGGATCAATCAACAAATCAACAACATAAAAATGGTTAAAAATTAATAACCAACGAAGCAATCACTCACTCTCTCTCTCTGTTTGGATCAATCAAACGACCCACAGTTATTCCAACATTAACCAACTCAGCAATGACCAACCACTTAAACAATGAGTCAAAACAACAATCAAATCAGATATACGAGTCACGACGCAGTGGAATCAGGCGCTCGTCAATTTTTGGGGAAATGGCATTTTTTGGTATTATCCTTAAAATTTTATATTTGTCTGTCTTTTGCTAAATAAAACAACAAACAAATTATCCACCTTTCTTGAATAGAAGTTGAATTCTTTTGGATTGATGGAGGTGAGGGTCACCTGTTTTCAGAGGTTAAAAAAAGAGAGAAAACGGCCGCCAAAGTTTGACGACTTTAAAAGCTTGAGAGTCCTTGGAAACTTTAATGTACGTTTATTTCTTCCTATTAATCAACGTTCTTCATCAAAGGCCAGAGTGAAAATAATTTTTTAATGGATAAAAGGTGTTGAGCCAAAAATGAAAATTCGCCAAAAGTGTCTTTACGCGAAGAAAAATGGTTTTCTTCGATTTCATTATTTTGGCGAGTGCCTGATTTCACAACGCTACCTGACATATCATATACATGAGAAGCATCTTGGTGGAATCAGGCGCTCGTCAAAATAATGAAATCGAAGAAACAGGCATTTTTCCTCCAGCTTGGCATTTTCTATCAAATTTCTGTTTTTTGGCTCAAGACCTTTTATGTTCATTTAAAAACACATTTCTGTGAGGATTTGACTAATAAACATTGATTAAAGGCACAAAAAATGTAAATGTTCAGTTTCCAAGGACTCTCAGTCTAAGGAAGTTACAAAACTTTGGGGGCCGTTTTCTGGTAAATGTTATCTCTGAAACCAGACGACCCTGACCTCCTTCCATCACAAGTACATGTAACATTTCCACTTCTATTCAACATAGATGTATATTTGTTTTCCCCGAAAGGAAGTCAAATGAACAAGCTTTAAAATTAGGCCTTTACAATAACTCCACATGCCCAAAAATTAACGAGCGTCTGATTCCACCGCGTCATGACACATATATAGGTACATAATATATACAAGTCCCAACCTGTACATTGCTTGGTATTCGGGTACTGATACCATCCCAGCAGACAGATGCACTTGTAGTCGGCAGAGCAAATCTGTCCGTAGGCAACGCACTCGTATTGAGAGCAGGTATCACCGAGCTCTTTCTCTGCTCTTTGTGAGGACACTGCTGCTTGGATCTAGGGATGATAAAATTGGGGCAAAACGGGAGGGGGGTGTGGGGGAGTGGGGGGAGGAGGTGTGAATAAACGAATCAGTTTTTATGTATGGTCTTGTGTATGTTTATAGTATAATATAATAGTAATATGTATGTGTGAGTGCGTGAGTGCATGTGTGTGCATATTATATTATTATGTGTGTTTGTGCGTGTGTGTGCAAGTGTGTGTTCATGTGAGTGTGTGTGTGTATGTATGTGTATGTTTGTGTATGTGTGTGTATGAGCACGCGTGAGTATATATATGTGCGCGTGCGTGTGTGTGT